GCATGGCGGCCCCGCCTCATTTCGGCACACCCCCCGTACTCGTCGTGGCCCCATAGGGAGCTCCACTGCAGGCCTCAGCGGCGGGGTTCATATGGCGGCGGCGCCTCCATTTCGGCACACCCCTCACACGCCTCGCGGCCCCGTAGGGAGCTACACCTAAGGCCCCAGTGGCAGGGTTCGTACGCCTTCCTCTGCCTATTTTGGCACACCACTCACATGTTTCGTGGCCTATAGTGAGCTCCGCCGAAGGCCCCAGTGGCAGCGCCCGCATGCGTCCCCCAGCCCACTTCGGCACACCCCGCACACGTTTCGGGGTTCCCATCCGCATTGCCCCGTGCTCCATCCCTCTCGCGGCGCGCTGCCTATGATGAGAAGGTCATATCCTACGTTGCTCGCAGCTGCGTATGGTTGGGTCCTTCGCCAGGCTAAGGTTCTCCATGTCGCTCGCCTTTCCTCGGCATCTCTATTTCAATCACTTACTCGGCCACATCACCGCCTCAGTGAGTAGGAACAGTTGAGCCGCGTGCCAGCCGATGCGGGCGGCGTTGCCTCGCTGCTCACCGCCTCTCAGCCGTGCATCCGCCGTCTGGCGCGATCTGCCGCCAGCATTGAACCCGCCCAGCACGTTGTCACTTGCTGGGCCGCCGCGCAGCGGAAGAAGCCCGCCGACCAGCTCAACGGCTTAGCGCCCCTCGCCAGGGGCGCGCACTGTCGGCCCGCGCCGCTCATCCGGTGCAGATTGCGGTCAGCACCTGCAGTTGAGCTGGCGCCTGACGACGCAAGAGATCGAGCTGCACTGAGCTCTCTGCCTCCTCTCCGGCGGACCGCCAGGTCCACGGAGAGCCGAACGCAGCGTGCTCGCCCTGTGGACGTACGCGCAATGGCTTGCAACTGAAGGACACGTTCATGATTTTTGCCGATGATTTCACAATGCGCGCATTCAGCCTCCTTGGCCATCATGGAGTTAGTTGCCGCATCCATCCTCTGTCTGAGCTGGCATGGCGCACGTTCGTTGACTACTCCGACGACCTCTTTCTCGATCTACTTGTTCATCTCCATCTCATTATACGTGCTCGTATCAGTTTTCAGCACCCTCCCCGTCAACAGTCAGTACATCGTGTTCTACCAGGTCTTCTTGTTCCACACTCGCTGTTTACGGTTACGCGTGCGCGACCTCCGTGCTGAATTCTTGGTCAGTGGACAAAGGCACAGAGCGCGGTCGCGCGCGAGCCGCAACGCCCAGCGACAGGGCTCCTGCGCACGTTTGCGCGGGGCTTTACTTGGATTTGAATGCGCGCGCATGCCAGCCCTCCTGCGCGCCGCGGCTGCGGCTGCGCGTCGCAAGTTGCGCGGACGCCCGCCCAAGGGCTCGCTGCCCATTCTGTCTTCTCTTCCACAGCGCCGCGCGGTACGGGGCACCTGCTGCCCCTGGACAAGTCGGAGGGCGAGGAGGACGCAGAACGTCGGAGGGCGCAGAGGACGCAGCAAGCCCGAGGACGAGGAGAACAATCAGGACGAGGAGACGGAAATGAGGGTGATCCTGCGGACGGGGTCAACGCGCGAAGGACGAGCGAGGCAATGCCACCACGCGTCTCGCGCAGATTCGCTCGACTCAGCCTCTGCTCAGCCTCCCCCTTCTCGCGCTCCTCAACCGCTCCCTCCACCCTGGTGCCTCCCACAGAGGCGGTTGCCGGCTGGATGACAGCCGCAACCTCCATTTGCAGTCGCCAAGCAAGCGGGGTGCTGCAAAACGCCGCTGCTCGCTCCAATCAAGCGCAGCCGGCTTGCTGCTGCACGCGGCAACCATCACCCGCAGTTGTCAGCGCGATCGCAACGAGGCGCAGCATGCCTGCTGACGCACATGGCGGCCGAGGACATTCCCTTGCTGGCAGCCGCAGACGTACGCATCTGCGGCCCGTGTGTCCAGATGCAGGCCAGGCCACCTACTGGTCAAAGCCAACGCCGCCACCGCGCATTCACGCTCGCGTCTACCGCGGCAACGTGCTCGGGACCGACTGCCAGCGGAACGCAGCAGCAGCGCATTGCGCCTTTTACGACCTCACACACCACGTCGCGACCACATCTTGGGCAGAGACACGTCGGCCCTGCCAACCCTCAGCCCGTGCTTACGTACAACGGGGAGGAAAACGTCGACGCGTTCATCATCATCGACGAGTCGCAGCCAACGGGGCCTTCCAGCAGGACAGCCTTGGCGCGTGCGTTTGACAGGCCATGCCGACACGCAGGAAACGCAACTTTCCGTGGACGCGCGCACACCCACGTGCAACAATGCATTCTCAATGGCACGTTGCACCGCGCGCTGTGCGATCCACGGCGGTGCCGCAACTGGCGCGCCGCAGGTATGGTGGTTTCGAGACGCCCAGGGACATCATAACTATACAGTTGATTGTCCCGTGACCCCCTTTGCTACTTAATTCCCGCCCCGAAGGGAAACACACCTACCAACCATGTCGGAGAAATTCGCCAGCGGAGGCTCTGATGTCGTGTAGTAAAGCCAGGAGTGCGCGTGTGCAGGCAGAAACAGATGGAGCGGTCGTTTGCACCGCGACCAGTACCCCTTTTGAGTTGTTTTGGCTAGCATTATGGACTTCATTGTAACTGAACCAAAACGTGCATTGCGTCGCCCTGGTACTGTTTGTCAAGATGGCTTGTGGGGCAGAAGAGAATATCAACTTTTCTTCCCGTGCGTGGCCGTGCTAGCCTCTCCCGCTCTTGATCAATACATTCAACTTTCTGTTTCGATGGGTGACAGCGTTGATCTTGATCTCAGGTGCCCGTGGCATTTCGCGCCATTCAGGAGACCCTATGGGTGCCTCCCGGAAATCCCGGGGACACCTTTGGACCTGGATATTTTTGGCAACGCCCCATCTTGTTCCGCGATGCCCTTCCGCACCCCTGGCCCATACTCCAGGACGCGGTCGTACAGCTGCAGGAATTCATCGGCAAGTTCTCAGGCAGCTCGACGCCCAGCGTCTCCTCAGAAGCGCATGTCGTCTGAGACCTCTCATCTCATCTCAAGTCCTGTTGTGTCCACTGGCTGCCTCCCTCTTTGTTCCTTTATGCTGTCCCCTTCCGTTTCTGCCTTGCCGTCTACCTGATAGATTGCCGGGATAATTTTCAGGCTTCCTTGCAAAGGCAAACAAGGCTGCTGTCTCTCATTGTAGGTATCCAGTGGCCTGCGGCCCATCCCGCCACAGTAATTACCTTGGGGGGTCTCTGGGGGTCTCCACAAAGCCTGTAGGCTTCCAGCGGGCTTCCGGGGGGGCCTGAGGGCCCAGGAGGTCTCCAGCAGGCCTCTCGGCGGTCTTGGGGCCGTCTTGAGTGGGAGAGGTTCCGGGGCACCTGGATCAGCTGTAATTGTCATGGACAGATTCGGATCGAACGGGGCTGAGCTGCGCGGCGCTTGACTGAGCAGGGTCTGGGAGGATTTCCTATGAGATTCTCATGCGGGGTCTTCCGTCGGAGCAATGCAGTAGGACAGAATGATAATTGGTCGCTTGATTTTCGAATATGCCCGATTCCTTCGCAACAGTGTGCGGGTATGCCCAGCTCTTTGTGCCGGCCATCTTGTCGAAGGTCAGAGTGCCGCATGCACGCCACCCAAGCAAGTGGAGTTATCGGTCGTCAAAGGACAGGTGCCAGAGAGGAGGACCTTAGGATATGTTTGATTTGTTTATACATTTCAAGTTTCAGAAGGTGCACTTTCAAGTTTAGTGGTGCAAGCTGAACATGTGCGTTGACGTGGCTTGAGCGCGAAGTCAAGGCCTCAGGCTGTCAAGCTCGATGGCGAGAAATGTGTGTGTCCACATGAGTTGTGGATGTGGGTTATCGCTCGCTTCCCACAAGTTTCGAGTCAAGACGCACGCGAGGTTGTGGGACAGTGTCGAGCGTCCTGGGGCCAATCTGGAGCTTGACAAGAGAGCAAGCAGCATCGCGCAGTCATCGCCTTTGGCGCTCTTTTGCTTATAGCCCCGATCTGGGCTATTCAACTCGGATTCGAATATTAGGAGGGGGTCGATACATCGAGTCTACATCTTGTTCCTCTGGCCGTCATCGTCTACTTCATAAGCACATTGGCGTAATTGCTCCCTGTGCTCACCGCTTTTCTTATTTTCCTCCACATGGTCCTCATATCGTTCCCATCCCCCTCCCGTTTCCATCCCTCTCCCGTTCTTTTCTGTGTTTCTCCTTCCATCTCTTTCTCCATGCTTCTCTCTCCTATTCCTCTTTCTCTCTTACCTTTTCCCCCCACTGCCTCTCTCCAGATCCTGTACTTCGTTTTTGTACCCTGGCCGCTGCAGCTCAAGCCAAGCCAATAACTGTACGGCTCGGCTGGTCGCGTTCGTACGGCCAAGTAGAAGTAGAAAGGCCGATTGTGTACGGCCAATGGGTTGCACTTCGTCTTCAGCTGTGGCCCGTGTGGGGGATATAGATGTAATTCCATCAGTTCCAGAGGCATCGCGCTCTGATGCTTACATTCCACAGAAGAGCGCATCTCGTAGCTTTCACAGCCAGTACGCTCTGGAGGAGAAGCTTGGCCAGGGTTGCTTCGGACGCGTCTATGCGTGCAGGAAGGTGGGCAGCGGATCGGAGGAGGGCTTCGCGGTGAAGGTCACGGATCTGAAGGAGGACAAGGATGAGTTCTTCTTCCTGCCTCTTTCGAGTAACAAAGACGATATCAACATGCACTTCCGGAGGTCCGCCGGCCGCCGTGGATCTGCGTTGGACCCCCTTGGCGGCGCTTCTGGCGATGTCCCTGGCGCTCTCTAGCGCCGATCCAAGAAATCCGAGCGGACCTTCGAACAAGTGTTCATGTGCTTCGTTATTATTCTATCATCGCCTCCCCCTCCTCCCGTCTCCTCCTCCTCCTCCTTCTCCTTCTCCTCCTCGTCGTCGTCATCGTCCTCCTCGCCCCTCCTCGTCTTCCCCCCTTTCCTGCTGCTCCTGCTGCTGCTCCTGCTGATTCCACTCAGGACGAGATGAGGGAGCGCGTTGCCAGGCAGGAGGCCCACATCCTCAAGAGGGTCGGGAACCTTGAGCACTGCTGCAGGCCCGTCGAGTCGATCCTCTTCCTCCCTCCCGCGTATTTCCCTCCTTGCCGCGTCCTCGGATTGCATCCCCTGGGAGATTGAATTCGTCATCGGCTCTTGCACTCTCTTGGTGCCGATCTTGCCCAGCCCTCCCCAGTCTGGTTGAACGTGCATTCTCGTACACCCTGGCTTAATCCAGACTAATGTGGCTTCATCGGGCTTGGTAGTCTCTTCATCCAGCCTTTTAGCGTACTGGCCCAGCTAAGAGCTTCCGAAAAGTCGTGCCCACAGAGGCCTCCCTGCCACCTAACCTTTCTCCTCATCCTCCCAGGTTCGTCGAGTCGATGTCCTCTGGGCGCTTCCACTACATCGTGCTGGAAAGGTTTGAAGAAGAGGGATCGGCATAGACCCACACCTTCTGAGGTCCGTGTGGGTTTCTCGAGTCGGCGCTGGACCCCAGGGAGGGGGGGTCCAGCGCTGATCCGAGAAATCCACGCGGACCTCCGACAGTTTGCGCGTATGCTTGCTTGTCTTTCGTCTAGAGGTGCAGCATGCCGCTCGGAGCGGCGCTGGATGGCGCGCCCGAGCTCACGGAGCTCGGCCTTGCGGGGCTCGTGCGCCAGATGTTCGCGGCCGCGGCCTGCGTGCACTCGGTCGATGTGGTGCACAGAGATTCGGTGGCGCACGCCACGCCGCCTGCGCCTTCGGGGGCCCTGTGGGTGCCTGTCTTCTGGGGTGCCCTGTAGCAGAAGCAACCTTTGGTGCAGTGCGCTGATTTGACCAAAGCCGTGCTCAAAAGGGGCCCCGTATGGCCGGCTGTCTTGCGGGCTTCTCGGGGGCGTCTTGGGCGCATTTTGGCGCGTCTTGGGGCCGTTTTGGAGGCCATCTGGGGCCATCTTGGAGCTACCTTGGCAACTTTGACGCCCAAGCTGTGCTGGCACCACTCCCGCCCCCCTCCCCCCCTTCACCCTCCCTCTAGCCCCCCCCCAAACCGTCCAGACCCACTTCTCGGGGGTGGAGGTAGGTGGGGAGTGGTGGTAAGGCTTCTGGCTGCGCGCAGACAGCCCCCCATAGGTAGTCTTGGCTGGCCTCCATAGGCCCACCGCGTAGTCTGGGGCGGTCTTGACACCTCAACCCTGGGGCGCGGAGCGCCGCAGGGGCGCCGCCAGAGGCGGCGCCAGGTGTTGAGACCGCCCCGGGCAGCTGGGTGGGGCTATTGAGGCCAGCTGGGACTACTCGGGGAGCCTGTTGAGGCCAGCCGGGGCTACATGGGGGGGCTGCCTGTGCGCAGCCCGAAGCTTCACCAGGGAGGGTCAGGGATCTCACGTGCCGGGCACCCCCAAGGGTTGGCGAATTTGAAGCCTGACAACTTCCTCTGCTCGGGGCCAGAGATGACGGTGAAGCTCTGTGATTTCGGGCTGGCCGAGGTGGTCCGCGCGGGCAGCCCCGGCGTGGCCGGGCAGTTCGGGACGCCGCCCTTTATGTCACCTGAGATTTTCCGTGACAACGTGGCTGGAACGCCCACGGACGTCTGGTCGCTAGGCGTGAGTTTGTACACCCTCGTCGTCGGCCAGTTCCCCTACGTCGTGCACAAGCCGTGCAAGGCGCTCATGAAGGCCGCGGTCGTCTCCGGGGTCCCCGAGCCGAGTTTCCAGTGCGTGGCCCAGGGTGTCAAGCTGTCCGAACAGTTGCTGGGCCTCCTAAGAGACCTGCTTCGCCGGGACCCCGCAGAGAGGCCCACCGCTGCCGAGGCGCTTGAGCACCGCTGGTTCAGCATGGAGTCGAAGGTGGAGGAGCAGCGCCCACTGCACTCCTTGAAGGATGCCGTGAAGTCCGCCAAACAGGTTGCCAAGGGGCCCGACATTCTTCGCCACCAGTGCCCCCCCTCCATCCCTCCCCATCCCCCTTCCCTGGACAGTTTGGAGGGAGAGAGAGAGAGAGAGAGAGAGACAGAAAGAAATAAAAAAAGAGCACAAACAAAAAGAAAGAGAGAGAAAGAGAGAAAGAGAGAGAGAGAGAGAGAAAGAGGCAGGCGCCCTGTGGTGTGCATGGATCTGTTGGGAGCCCCAGGTGGGCGCCTTCTCCGTGCCAAGTGTTGCAAGCAGGTCTCGCCAGCGGGCCCCCGACTCCATGGACCTGGCGCTGCAGGAGCTGCAGAGGAGGCACCGTCCGCAGGGCCAGGCAGGCCTCGACGACGAGGACCGCAGGAGCTGCTCCAGGGACAGGGCCTCGGCCGTCTGCAGGTCGCCGTCCGGGAACTCCTCGGCGACCACGCGAGCAAGCAGCAGGGCCGGGTCGTCCAACTCGGCCGTCCGCAGTTCGCCTTCCGACGGCTCGTCATCGACCACCCGCAGCAGGGCTCGAGAATCGACCTCGAAAGTCCGCAGTCCGCCCTCCAGGGGAATCGTCACCGACTACTACCTCTAGCCTTCCAACCTCCAGCATCCGACTCTCCACTTCCACCTCCACCAGTCGGCATCCAGCGTCGAGCGGCTCAGCATTCCGGAATGCTGAGCCGCTCGACGCTGGACACCAAGAATGCAGTGCGACCTCAATGACACCACATGGCTACAACCCGGCTACAACACAGGAGTGGGAACGTTTGGAAAACAATTTGGTGAAGTACGCATCTCCCTGAGTAGGCGCCTGGCGCGTGCAGTTTCTCATGCGGCGCCATGACCTCACCCGCCTCGCCCTGAAGGGGCCCGGGCGCATGCCCGCACAGGCGTTCCGTTGCGTTCCATGCCGTTCCGTCATCGACTACTACGCGTAGCAGGGCCCGAACAGCCAGGATCGTCCAAGCGGCGGTTGGCTGGAGGCCCCTGTGTTCAATCGCCGCTGGTTTTCCTTCGCTTCGTAGCCAGTGAGTCGTCGTGGCGTCCATCGCGTGCAGAGTAAGTCCCCCGGCCAGCACTCTAGAGCTGGCCGTGTCCACTCATCTGTTCTTTTCGTGGGCAGTTCAGTCGGCGAGGCTCTGTGCGCCAACGATCTGCGCATTGTGATTTTACTGGGGTGGCCTTGCACTCATTCTCTGCAGCATCTTTTCGCGCTGTCTTGAGCGGAAGGCCGGGCGGGATGGTTGGCACAAGAGAGGACTGGATGGAGGAATGGACGGAGGGTGGGAGGGCGGCATGGAGGGATAATGACGGAGGAGCAGAGTGATGGTCGCCAATCTCTGCACCAAGCTCTCCCAGTGATCGCGCATTCTGTTTTCCCGTGCTGCCGTGGACGGGGGAGAGGTGACACCATTCCTCCCCCTCCTCCTCCTCCTCCTCCTCCTCCTCCTCCTCCTCCTCCTCCTCCTCCTCCTCCTCCTCCTCCTTCCCCTCCCCCTCCGTCTCCCTCCTCCCCCCCTTTCCCTCCCCCTACTCCTCCCTACTCCCTTGTCCCCATCCTCCTCCTCCTCCTCCTCCTCCTCCTCCTCCCCCTCCCCTCCCCCTCCCCCTTCAGCCTGGGCCCGAGTCCCTTGAGGACAGAGCGCGGCCATAGGGGCAGACTCCCCAGCGGTCCTTCTTAAATCCGCATGGGCAGGCCGGATTCGCCCCATCCCAGGGCGAACCGATCTGCACCACCACCCCTCCATATCGCGCCGCCATGTCCTGCGACGCCGCTCCGGCTTCGCACCGAGCGGTGACCACCGCGTGGCCTTCTACTTCAGCGACCCGACGTGCCCGGCTCCAGAGGGCGGCAGCTGCGACGAGGCCAGTAACCTGCCGCGGGCCTCGCTCCCGCCACCCCAGCGCCCCGCAGAGTGGCACGCAACCAGGCGCAGCCGCGTGGCCGCAGGCCAGACCACTGGCCTCGGTCTGGAACGCAGGGGAAGCGGAGGCGGAGGCCACCCAGCCGTTCCGCCAGCGACGGCGACTCCGCCGTACGCCAGGCCTGAGCCCCCTCACGGCCCCCGACGGCCGCTGCTCTCACCAGGCCATCGCGCCATCTCACTCTGGGCGCCTGCCGCCTACCTGTTCCACCCCACGTCGGTTACCGACCTCCGACCCGCCCTCGGACCCAGCGTGCGGAAGAAGGCCCCTCCCTGGGCCGACGCTGACAGCGGACCAGTACCTCAAGCTACGCGCGCGAGCACTGCGTTCCCTTCCACGTGCCCTGCCCGGGACCACGCGACTGACTCTGGCATACGGCTTTAAGCCCTCGCTTTCTGCCTTGACGACACCCTCGGTGCCAACCATGGCCTACGGGCGTGATGGTCATGCACGCATTCTTCCGACGCATCACCACGGAAGCGGACGAAGCCCATCACAGACCCGTGTTTTGGTTTGACGCCTTCAAATACCGCCAGGGCCCGACGTGCCACGACGACGGCGTCTTCGTCGGATCTTGCACTCCAACGCAGTCTGTAGACTGACCGACGGCTTGCTGCCTCTTGGGAGCACTAGCCCCACGCTCCATGCTGTCTCTCGGCGCCGCTGCCATGACCACCGTCTTCCGCTGCCGTCCTCCGTCTGCTCTTTTCGGGTGTGCGCCACCAGGTGCGTCGCACGCGCAGGGCCACGGCCACTCAGTCCATACGGGATATGGCTTGCACGGTCATGAGAGGGCCCTTGGATTTGTTCCGTGTGCAGGCTGCGACCAGGGGACCCGCTTCTTTTCGCATTGAGGCCTTCTCACCTTTTCCGTATTTGGCCCCCCACGGTGGGGGTTGTAAACCCCTTCGTGTGCCGAGGGGTGGCAGGGCCCTTGCACCTCCCTGGTTACTGCCTGGCCCCCTCGCTGGCGGTGCCTCTTGGTGCCGCCGGCGTGGGGCTGGGCGGGACCAGGGGCGGCAGTGCTTGCACGGCCACTGCTTCTCGGCTCCTGTCGCCTTCAGGCTCACGCGGGGAGGCCCCTGCGCCCCTCCGTTGGGCGGGGCTGTTTTCATCCCACTTTGCCGCGCGCTGCGCGAACACCTGGCAACTTGTTCCGCAAACCAGGCACCAGGCCGCCAAGGGGGGGGGGGCGAGGCGGCGCCTTCTCTTCCCAGGGCTCCGAGGCGCGCACGCCAAAGCGTGCCCAAAGCCGGTGCCTTTCTTTTTCAGGGGGTGCAGAAGGGGCGTGTCTCGTCCTTATCGCCGCTTGCCGCTTTCGCTTTCCAGTCGGGGTCCCTTTTCGACCGCGCCAGGGAGGGGGCATTTTTTGACACCCCTGCCTTCAACATGCGGCACCTCCCGCCAGAGTGAGGACGGCCCAGCCGGCGCTCGTACCTGGCGGGCCAAGACACACACCTGTCTGAATCGGTGCGTCGTTACTCTCCCCAGTTTCCTCCCCCTTCTCCTCTCCCCATCTCCCTCCTCATCCCTTCGTGTTCTTCCTCACCCTTCTGATTCCCCTCCTGCTCATCATCTCACCCTCCTGCTGCTTGTGCTCCTCCTCCTCCTGCTCCACCACCTCTCCCTCCTCCTCCTCCTCCTCCTCTTTCTCCTCCTCCTCCTCCTCCTCCTCCTCCCTTTGCTCCTGCTTTCACTTATATTCCTGATATGGTTTGTTGTTATTCCTCCTTTTTCGCCTGCCGCTAATCCTCATAATGTTCGTTTTCCCTACCTAGGCTCTGCCTAGAGGGTTCTTACTCGCTGGGCTTAAAGGGGCCGGGCAGTGTTCCTCGCCCCGGGCGGTTCCCCCAGTATCCGCCCTGCGGTTCCCCCAGCTGCGCCCCCTTAGCTTAGCTTTGCTTATTTCATCTTAGCTTAGTCTAGCTTAACTTAGCTTAGCTTAGCTTAGCCTCGCCTAGCTTAGCTTAGCTTAGCTTAGATTAGCCTAGCCTAGCTTAGCTTAGCTCAGCTTAGCTTAGCGCAGCGCAGCATTAGCATTAGCATAGCATAGCATAACATAGCATTGCAGCATAGCATATCATGTAGGTGTATATGTAGATGTAGATGTACATGTAGGTGTAGACGTAGGTGTAGATGTAGATGTAAATGTGAGTGTAGTTGTAGATGCAGGTGTAGATGTATATGCATGTGTACATGCAGATGTAGCTGTAGGTGTAGATGTGGGTAGGTCTAGATGTAGATGTAGATAGTAAGCTGTACTACTACTACTACTACTACTACTACTACTACTACTACTACTACTACTACTACTACTACTACTACTACTACTACTACTACTACTACTACTACTACTACTACTACTACTACTACTACTACTACTACTACTACTACTACTACTACTACTACTACTACTACTACTACTACTACTACTACTACTACTACTACTACTACTACTACTACTACTACTACTACTACTACTACTACTACTACTACTACTACTACTACTACGTCTACTACTACCACTACTACGACTACTACTACTACGACGACTACTACTACTACTACTACTACTACTACTACTACTACTACTAATACTACTACTGCTACTGCTACTGCTACTGCTACTGCTACTGTTACTGCTACAACTGCGACGATGAGGAGAAGGAGGAGGACGGCGTTTACCGTTACTACTAATATTGCTCTCCTCGGGGCTCCAACTCCGAGGTAGGGTCGCTCTGGGATAAACTTCTTCCTCCTCCTTCTTCTCGTCCCTCCTTCCCCTCAGGCTTCTGTTCCTGATCATCCTTTTTATCTTCGCTATGTTGCTTGTTTTCTCCACGAGATCTGGGCATTGCATGGGGGAGGACATGGCGAGGGCATCTGCGTTTTGAACCGTGCGATTTGCCAACTTCGCAATCGGCTGAGAGGCCTTGCGTTTTTCCAAGCAATCGCCGCTGTTTCTCACAAAGATTGTTTGACCAATGAGCGGGTCACAGGTACCTCGGCTCTGACGGTTCAGTACCGATGCATGGGTGGTCGATCTCCAGGGGAGACCTGGTCGACAAAAGGGCCGGCTTCACACATGGATAGTATCACCAGAATCCATGGATATTGCAGGCCACAAGATGCTTGAAGTGCTTGCGGTGTTTTGGAACCTGCTCGGGAACGGATTTCTGTATCTCATGCCGTTCATCTTGGGATCCAGCGTGCGTGGCGTGCAGAGTACGTCCAGCGTGTGGCACTGTAGGGCTGACTGGCTGGATCTGCCACCTGTCATGCTCCAATGGAGTTGCAATTTCGACTATTCCGATCGCTCCCACGATACAGTTGCTTGTGTTTTTCTTGGGCACCGCGTGTCCAATCATATCGCGACGTCTTGGACGCAGCTGGGCATTCTGGAATGGGAAAAGTGGGGGACTCCAGCAGGAAAGAAGGGACGGCCTGTCATCACCAGGCTTTCTTGGTGACCCTACGTTTTGTCTTATGGTGCTACTTTGGACAGGGGAGAGGCGGCGCAACTCCTCCTCCCGCACCCCCTCCCCCCACGCCCCTCCTCCTGCCCCTTCTCGTCCGCATCCTGCTCGTCATCCTCATCTAAGTCGGGAAAGTTTTCTCAGAAGTTGGAAAGCGTGCTCGGGATGACTATCGTGAAGGGCAGTGATG